CGAGCTAACGTCGCCATGAATCCTGATTATGATCACTTTCAAAATCTACAAGCAGCTAATAACTGGTGCTGCTATTTTCATGCGACGTTGTGGACGGCTCACTTAGCTCTTGTGGGCGCGTTACTCAAGGCTCTCGTCCTGTAGGGGTTTTCAGTGGTTGGTCGTTTCCCCGTTTGCTGTAGCTGCTAGGTGAGCAAATCGCTATACGCTTGAAATATCGCTGTCACAAATAGCCCTCCGTAGCAAGTGAGAAAATCGGAGATGGTGTTCGGCAAAGCTTGCATCTCTTACCAAGGGATGACAGACAGGGATGAATTAGAGTATTATCAGAAAAGATTAATTTTTTTTTGCTTTGAGGTCCACGCCCGAGTTATCTCGGGGGTGTTGGCATCTTGATGAAGGATATAAAAACTTGAATGAGAGTGCTGACACATATCAAAATACTCGGACCCCAAAGGGTTAAGCACATCTTACTGCCTGCAATTATGATTGCTGGTGCGGAAGGATCGTGCTTGTACTAAAAGGGCTACTAAAAATAGTCATTTGATTACTGATACTGGCGCAATTCAAATCGATAGAAGTTGTGGAACACCAATATCAGGACCAGGGAAATCGGTAGTAGGCTTTATTACTGCTGCAGGAAAAAAGAAATGGATGCATCTCTACTCAAGTATTTACCGTATAAAGTAGTACATACCTCAAGTCGGAGGGAAGGTTTATATAAATATTTACTAAGGCTGCTAACCAAACAATAACTTTAACCCTATCAATTGTGCACCGTTTGATTAACTGATGTATGGTATTGAATTTTAAACGACTCATGAGTCCCTCTCTGAATCTGGCTACGGAAAATTATTTATGAAATAACCTCCAAAAAAGGCAGGAGATGAAGAAACATCTCTGCCATGGTCAGAAGACAATACAGGGTGGTCCACAATTGTCTCCCCAAAAGTAAAAGCTCATAACTCAGGAAGTATACATCCGATGTCAATGATATATGACTCAAACGATAGCCAATTCAATATATTTTTTGTGGAAAATTTCAGCATTCTATATGGAAATGGAACAAAGTTACACTATAACAAATGAAAATACCCATATCGTGCAACTAAAGCCTGTAAATATCACAATCTCTTCTGACATTCGTAATTCATTCGTGGGTTTTTCATCCATCGCGAGGGATTTTCTGTGTCATGGGTGACCTCAGTATCCTGCAGAAGATGAATACTGACATTTCGTTTGATAATTTGAAGAGAGCAAATTTGTGCGGGGAAAATTTGGAAATTTCTTCAGTTTGGGTCCAAATGCCTCAGTTTCTGATGAGATCATGAAGGCAATTCATAAGACGTTTCTGTACCTGAAGAGATTAATCGGCGGACCTATGACAACCTAGATATGCTGAAACAGGTCATTAGAGATGCCTTCGCCATGTAGGACCAGAGGTGATTTAAAGAATTTTGCTGCCATTCAAAGAGAGACTGCACCAAGTCATTGAAAATTGTGGAAGTCATATTGAACACTAATGATTTGGTGGCTTTCATTTGTTAGGATGTAACTTTGTTCTAGTTTCTTATGGAATGCTGAAAATTTCCACAATAAAAATATATTGAATTGGCTATCGTTTGAGTCATATATCATTGAAATCGGATGTTTACTTCCCCAGTAATAAGCTTTTACTTTTGGGGATACAATTGTGGACCATCCTGTAAAGTCATAATGTCTAAACCAATCAATTTGGCAGACTTATTATTTACGCTTTCTCGGAAGCTGTGGAAGCAGGTGGGACGTTAATTTTTGAAAAATGGATCACTGAAGTAAGGCACAGGAAGGACAATGGATCTCATCCGAGCAGTGTTGGGGAATAGGTAAACAGAAGTAATATGGCTTAAANCTTAAAATAAAATGCTTTTCCAGAGGGATATCGTAAAGCACCTCAATGATGTCAGGTAAGAGCAATGACTAAGGAAACCAGCATCAACATGAGAGAATTCATATCTGAGCTTGTATCCTGGGAAACTTTGTGCTTTGCCATTCAGTAAAACTAGTAATTTTTATATGGACTTAGGCAATGAAGGGTGCCCAAAGTGCGGCCCGTGGGTCGCATCCAGCACACAAAGTGCCTTAGAGAACATCCACTTTGAGCACCCCTGATCTAGATTGAGTTGAAGAAAGCATTATTTGTATTCATGGGTGATTTTCATGGAATGTATTTTTCAGTATGAGCACTGGGAAAAGGTTTTGCTGGATGCTGCATCATGCAGACATGCTCAGGTATCTTTATTGGAAAGTTCTTATCCATCAGGAAGATAAATATCAGTTCTCATATCACAAAAATTTTGAACATAGGACACAATGTGTTGGATTTTCAAGCTGGATTGATGAAAGGCTTCACATGGGCAGGGAATTACCACAGACACCCCTAGTCAAACCGGTAGATTGTACCTCCATGTCCCTGAGAGGAGTGGTATACATGGTGGTGATATCTCCTTGACATCCTTCCATGGCTCCAATTCTCACCACTGTCAATGATTTCACCATATTTGTTCCTCTTTGGGAATCCTTCCCACATGTTGTCAGCATCTTGCACATCCTCCATCCCATTGGCTTGGGAATAGGTTTCATTCCACCTACCTGAGGCCCTTGCATCACCAATTGAACCTAATTGAAGAAAATTAAAGTCTTGAATGCCTACAGGTAATTGCCAACAATGTTACAGTGAAGTTGAGGTTCATTTACTGATGTTCAGATAGTTAATGATCACAGCGTGCAACCTAAAGATGACAGGTGTCATATGTGGGCCTCTCTTTTCATGGCTCTCACATCTAGGTTTACACATTACATCTAGGTTGTACTTCCTACTACTGTTTTTTTTTGTTCTGAACTTGGTCATGCCCTTGGTTAGAAGAATAGCTCTTGGCCTAGTAAAATGAGACTCTAGACACTAATTTAACAACTACCCAAGTTATATCTTCTAACCTTCAATAGCTTTGACTATATATGGATCTAGGGCTTAAAGCAAACAGCATGCCATTTCAACTCATAATGGAACACCAAGCCCTGGGACAAACATGCACCTCAATGTGAGGGGTTGTTTAGCCAGGACTTATTCAACTCTGCGCAAATCTTAAACTTCTGACCTTCAAGGGTTTGGGTACTATAAGGCAAGAAATGTACATGCATGTGAATGGATAATGTCCATTTCCCCTTACAACCACAATATCAGTTCAGAACGTTGGGGAAGGATGCTACACTCTCACATTCAATTATATATTTTGATATGCTAGGGTATTTATGAGGATATGCCACACTGCAGGTAAGGGCTTGGTGCATTTCAATAGCACCTGCCAAGTCAGCTCTTGAGGCCATATGTGCACAGATGGATGGGCCAAGAAGTAGCCATCACCTCCTCCTGGCCCATTAAAATGGAACGCAAGAGTAACAGATAGCATTAGGTGGTGTGGCAATACTGCCAGAGAAGTCCAATAAATGAATGGATCTGCTACTGGAAATGTGGCCAGCATTCAGCTGCCAGGATCCTCACCCCTGGCCTGAGGACCATGATGTCCTTCAGTCTGTAAGTCTGTAAGGTGGAAACCTTCAGCTCCTGGGCCAATGGATATAACCAATATGGACCCCCTAACTTTACTGTGTATTGCTACCCATGGTGTTACCTTTGTCTCTGTCCTGCTTCAAGTTTGGGAAAAAAAGAAAGGAAAAGAATGTGGAAGTGCACATACATTGCCAAGATGGCTCCCTGTGGCCTTGTTGCAGCTTAGAATGTTGTGAAGAAGGTCGATCTTGTTTCAGGTGTGTCTGCTGCTGTAGGTATGAGGCTCGAAAGAAAGAACCAACGACTACGTTGAGTCAGAAGGAGAATAAAGGAGAGACTAAGGTTTCCCCACTCCTGTTCTTTTCGTTACTCTAGACAACGATGATAGTGTGTACGTTCTAGGAACGAAATAGTAGATACTCAAAAGGAGAAGAAAGTGTAACATGTTATCCAGTATGGGCTCAAAGAAAATGTCCAAACTTCACACACCTCAAGAAAAAACAATACAAAAGGCATCGGCAGGCACTTTTCAAGATGTAACATACAATATGGTGATTTAATCAAAATTTCCATGGAATTGGCTATTAAGGACCTGAGGATGTTTTTCCTACACAATGTCACATGTTTGCCTGTGGCAGCCTGCTTAGTTGGACTGGAGTAGGGTAAGTCCTACCATGCATGGAGTGAACATGAACTGTTTGCACTGACAAATTTGCAATTTCACTATACACAGAAAAATATTTTTCTGAGCTCTACTCAAGTTTTCTTGAAATTGGATTCCCATTGCATGCTGTGTTTTA